TTGAAGCCAAAAATTTGTATGCATGTTTGAATATTGAAGATATGGAGATTATATGAAGTTTGAATGCATGAGCCTTGATTATACAAAGAAATGTTGATTAATTTTGAAGATTGGACCATGATTTTGAATAATTGGCCTCATGTTGTTTACATCCATATGCCATATGATGTATTTGCATGTTTTTGGTGCCTTAATTTGGGCTTTAAAGCCTTTGAATGTTGAATTTGAGCTCAAGAACAATTCTGGATTTTCCAGATTTTGGCATGTCCGCTCGAGCAGGGAAGTCGCCGCTCGAGTGGGAAATACGAGCTCCCAGAACTTTCTGCAGACATGATGTCCGCTCGAGCGGGGAAGTTCACACTCGAGCGGAGAGCCATGTAGTGAGGCTTTCAGCTCGAGTGCCCGACTTCACGTTCGAGCGTAAAAATGATATAACCAGTACTTTTGCAGACCTCATGGGTCCACTCGAGCGGGGAAGTCCATGCTCAAGCGGGGACCGCTGTTTCTGAAATTTTGTAAATGCGTTCTGTGTTTCATTTTCCGTTCTCTTTCACTTCTAAGTACTCTTAGGCATGCATTAAGCATTGTAAATGAATCAAAAGAATAAGAAAGAAGCCTAAAGAGGAATATGTGAATTACGAACGGATTGAATTGTTTGTGACCTATTGTGTTCATGGAATGTGTAGGGTCGAGCTCCAGGGCAAATCATCCAGTCGATCACTGTGAGTAATATCTTAATAAAGATATCTGAAATATGTTATTTGTCCAATTGCTTATCTTCCTATAAGTCTGTTAATTTGAATTGTGGACAAATGTTTGCTATGCTGAAAGAATGAATGAATGATTGGGCCAAAGGCCAGTTTGACACGAAAAAATGATTGGGCCAAAGGCCAGTTTGACACGAATGAATGATTGGGCCAAAGGCCAGTTTGACACGAATGACAAATCATCCAGCCGATCACTGTGAGTAATATCTTAATAAAGATATCTGAAATTGTTATTTGTCCAATTGCTTATCTTCCTATAAGTCTGTTAATTTGAATTGTGGACAAATATTTGCTATGCTGAAAGAATGAATGAATGATTGGGCCAAAGGCCAGTTTGACACGAATGAATGATTGGGCCAAAGGCCAGTTTGACACAAATGAATGATTGGGCCAAAGGCCGGTTTGACATGAATGAACGAATGGCCAAAGGCCAGTTTGACAAGAATGAAAATATGAATGGGCCAAAGGCCAGTTTGATATGAACGAAAGTATGAATGGGCCAAAGGCCAATTTAACATGAATGAAAGTATGAATGGGCCAAAGGCCAGTTTGACATGAATGAAAGAATGAATGGGCCAAAGGCCAGTCTGGCATGAATGATACGAATGAATGGGCCAGAGGCCGTATGACATGAATGATATGAATGAATGGGCCAGAGGCCGTATGACACGAATGAATTAGGCCCGAGGCCGTATGATGTGTTTGGAACCGCAGTTACTTGACTTATATTTATATATATGCTAGATAGAAATACTTATTGGGCCCAAGGCCGTTTGAAGCACGTTGTTCTAAATACCGTTTGTGTAACTTCTTTATTTGATATTATTCACTGGGCTTTCGCTCACGCTCATTCATGTGTCTATAGGTGAGCCAAGGGAGATCCAAACCTAGCCTCAGTGAAGTTTGTGTGGAACAACCAAGGTTTTGAAGAATCAGCCCTTACGTCTCACGCACGAGACTCGCCTTCGCCTTTTTGCTATCTTGTTTCATTTTGTCATGTTGGCAAGGACTTTGGATACGTTGTATATAGTTTTGATTGGCTAACCTAGACTTGTATGATCCTGTCTGTACAGAACTTTAGGTTACTGTATCTTTTGATGTGAGTTATTAACATGTATATGTATGGATTGCTATGATGTGCCATGTAAGCACAGCTCTATGGACAAAGTTTTAAATTTTGCTTCCGTTTGGCCCCTTTACTCTGATGCGTCATGTCTGGAATGGTTTGAAGCCGTAGGTAATCCCTTGATTATTGGCCGATTATGTCCTTAACCCATAAGGGGCGGGTTCGGGTCCTGACAAAATGTAAGAGTCATAATGATATAGGATTATAAAGGAGGCAGATAGAGAAAGAATGGCAAAATTAGTCATATTTACAACAAATATGCCCTAGACAAAAATATAATTACAACAAATTATTCATTAACTGACAATAGTGTTAAACAACAAATATGCCCAAAAGTGTTATTTTGGGCTCAAAGATGACCCAAAATAAGCCTATAAAACTATAAATTTTCAACATTTTTCATTTATATAATACTATATTTATCAAATTTTTATGTCATTTATCATCTCACATATCAACATGTAATGGGTTCACCACTCAAATATATCTCTAATATAATGTTGATAATTAGATTAACATATTAGATGTTGAGATAAAATGATACAAATAAATGATCATTATGGTACTAAAACTTTTCTATTAAAAACACCTTAGTTACCTATTTGATTTTTTGATTTTTTGTGTGTGACTTTTTAACTTAGTTAAAAAAAAGTTATTTTTTGAGAAAATAGTTGATTTTTTTTAGTTAGTTTGATAATTGTGAGAGAAAAAATAAAATAATTATGAGTTAGATGTGACATTTTATTTTATTAACTATTTTAATCTATTTTGAGAAATAGATTAAAAATTAATTTTTGAATTTTTCAAACTTTTTTTTTTAAAAATATATATAAAAAAATAATATAACTTAAAAAAAATTAACTTTTAATCTAATTATCAAAATAGACTTTAGCCCAAATAGTCCTTCCCAAACAAAGTCTGTATTATTCTAGATAAGCATAAGAGAGAGAGAGAGAGAGAGAGAGAGAGAGAGAGAGAGAGGCCTTGCTGGTGGTCAGCAGAAGCAACTAAAGCCGAGGGGGGGATGAACTTTCTAAAATACAGTCCACACTCATGTGAACCCCATCAACTTGCTTACTTGTGGCCCCCCACCTCACATACATAGCCCATAACTCATACATGATACAACACATACACACTATAGTTAACCGTACTCCACACCCACAACCCCTTCCCCAATATTTACTCTCTCTCTCTCTCTAACTATGAATCTTCCTAGTTCCTTACCATCTCTTGGGTTGACCCACCACACCCACATCTCCACATCTTCATTTACCAACACTACATACAACTTGTAGTAGCAGACAACAAAATAATAACAAAATAAACAATTTTATCAAACAAACACAAAGGGTAGACCTTATATATACATATCAGCCTTCCATCAAACCCAACTCAAACTCCTCTCTCCGCTTCATATATCTCTCTCAAAACAAATTTTCTCCTCCCTTTCTCTCTCTCAAAAAAATGGATGGTAGTTACATAGATGAGAGCACAACAAGTGACTCTCTATCTCAATCAATTGAACCTTCATCGACATTGGTTACACAGTTTTAAAATCTAACAAAAATAATTTTTGAATATAAATGTATAGGCTTTTACCATTACTCTTTATTTATTATTTACACACTCAAAACATGTAAACAATCATTTTCTCATGGACCATCCAAACAAAGACATGTTTTTGTAACTATGTAAGAAGTGAAAATCGACATGAATCATCATGTACCATGAACAGAATTAGTGTGTTAACATATGTCACCAGTTATCAGCATATAGGGGAAGAAATATATATATATATATATATATATATCAGTGTGTGTGTGCGTGTGTGTGTGTGTGAGAGAGCATACTGACTGAGCTCGTGCGAGAGAGAGAGATCGTAATACGTCGTCGCCACACCACCGCTAGCCGTCGTTGCTCGTCGAGAGAGAGATCGTCGATGAACACTCGCTGTCGTCGCTCATCTCCATGATTGGGAACTCGAACTCGTCTCTGTGATTGTGATACACGAACTCGAACTTGTCTTTGTGATTGGGAATTGGAAATAATATATAAAGTTTTAGGGATTTTGGGGGTTTTGAGGGAGAATGGTGTTAGGGATTTTGGGGGTTTTGATCGAGCGCCATTTGGGCTGAAGGAGGGAGATGAAAATTTTCAGTACTATTTGCGATGGTATAGATAAACCGTCACAAATGATCAAATCCATTTATTAAAATGATGCAGTTTTAATAAGGGTTTTTTTTGCGACAAAGAATTCCCGTCACAAATGTCCACTATTTGCGACAATAAATTTCACCCGTCTCAAAAAAAAAAAAAAGTGACGGTACACAGTGCGTCGTGAATACTTCCGTATTTAAGAGACTTTTTGTTGTGTGCTGGAAACTACCGTCGCATAACACATTTATTTGAAACGACTTCATATGCCGTCGCAAAAGATCACTTTTAGCGACGAGATACACGCCGTCGCAAAAAATTCCGTATTTTATACCCACTTTTCTTGTAATGTCACAAAGTTTGAAACCCCACTCTTAGCCTTGTTCGGCATTAGAGTAATATAGTTAAACTGAAAAGTAATTACATGTTGTTATATTATTATTATTTTATTATTTTATATATTTTTATATAAAAAATTAAAATATTGGTTAAAATAATCACCTTCCAAATGAGTTGTTTCTTTCTAGACCACATCCATTACGCTTTTTCTTTTTACAAAGTTAGGAACTCTCCTTTTTCTCTCACGTTCAAGGCAACATAAAAATTTCTTCAGTGAGGCGTCTCTTTTACTTAAGGCTCTAGCGAAATTTGTATACTGAAGATATGAGAAGTGGCCGGTGGACAAATTTCTGCAACAAAACAAATTTCGCCAGTGGATGGTAGTCGGCAGCAGCAGTTGATGGCAGTGAGATATAACAGATAAGTAACATTGAACAAGTAGATGACATATATACAAATAGTGTGAGATATTTGAATAGATAAGTGACATTTAAAAAGATAGACATATAAATAACTTGGAACAAATAGGTATTTTTTGGACAAATAATAACCCTTCTATTTTGAAATGAATACACACACATCTCCCATCTCATTATATTTGAATTTTTTTTGTATAAATTTTCTTTTATATAACAATACTCTTTGAAATTCTTACCAATTGACCGGATTGAGATCTTTTCTAACAAAACAATTTTACAACAATTGAATTATGTAGTAGATATCTTCTCTTACAACTACAACCATTCAATGAAGAGAATATAAATTCTGGATCAGTTAGTATATTAATAAGCGAAGCCCACCACTTCTCTCTCTCTCTCTCTCTCTCTCTCCAGTTTCCTTTTCCTCACCATGGATTCAACTCCAGCTGAAGAAATACTCCACGATTTTCCATCCCACGTTCGAGTTTACAAAGATGGCAGAGTAGTACGATTCAAAGGCACGGATACTGTCCCTCCCTCAACCAATCCCGACACTGGCGTCCAATCCAAAGATGTCATAATCGATCCAGAGACTGGTTTATCTGCCAGGCTCTACATCCCCAACAACCCACTTCACAACAAGCTTCCTATTCTAGTTTACTTCCATGGCGGAGGCTTCTGCACGGAAACCGCCTTCACTCTCACATACCATAACTATCTCAATTCACTTGTGGCCGAAGCCAGTGTCGTTGTCGTCTCTGTCGATTACAGAAGAGCCCCTGAGCACCCTCTTCCAATCGCTTACGATGATTCTTGGGCCGCTGTCAAGTGGGTTGCTTCTCACTCCTCGGCTGGTGGTGGTGAGGTATGGCTAAAGGAGTATGCTGATTTTGATCGGGTCTTCTTTGCAGGAGATAGCGCAGGGGGTAACATAGCACACAACATGGGAATTCGGGTCGGTTCCTGTGAACTGGATGGTGTGAAGTTTGTTGGGATGGTTTTAATCCATCCATTTTTTGGAGGGAAAAGTCCAATTGGTTCTGAAGGTAGTAATAGTGAGATGATTATTGGAAAAGAGGTTGCTGATAAATTATGGCTCTTTGTGTACCCGTCGTCTAGCGGGTCTGATGACCCTTTATTCAACCCGGTTGTGGATCCGAAGTTTTCGAGTCTGGTTTGTGACAAGGTGTTGGTATGTGTAGCTGAGAAAGATTTTTTTAAAGATAGGGGTTGGTATTACAAGGAGGAATTGGGGAAGAGTGGGTGGGGAGGAGTAGTGGAGACTATGGAGGCTGCAGGGGAAGGCCATGTGTTCCATTTGTTTAACCCGACTTGTGACAATGCTATGGCCATGCTCAAACGAGTGGCTTGTTTCTTGAATGAGGACAATGCCTAGTTGATTTTGTTGTGTTTGTAAACTTATTTCTATTGTTGTGTTTTTTTAACGTAATTTTGTTGTATCTATCAAGTGTAGCTGTGATTTAGTTCCAAAAAAAAAAAATGTTGCTGTGATTAAATAATGAATAAATCAATTTACTGTTGTGTAACTGAAGTTTTCTTCCTGTGCCTTTCAAAACTTTCTTCGAGTTCTTTGAGTATGGAGGCAATAATTTGTGATTAGGATTTAACTTTTTTCCAATTAAAAGTTCAATTATGCCAGAGTCATTAAACGGAAGTTTCTTATCGATAAAAGTCGTTTAATCATTTCTAGAAGAAAAACAAGAAGTGAGACTTGATTTATTCATTATTTAATCAATCATGCCCCCAAGTGCGTTTTCACCATCATTTTGAATGAACGGATTGTTTTTCTATTTTGCCACTATTGATCTATGAAAATTCTCCAATATCATGTTATTTTCAGGCCTTAATTTTTTCTTGGCCATTAAGCTTTCTAAATTATGCTCCCATATCGAATTTCTTTATCAATTAAGTAAACTTGGCCTTCAAGTTGATGAATTTTTTCATCAAAATAATTTAAATCTCTATGTATCAAATAATATGGCGATGATGAAATTATTTGAAATCTTTGCTGATAAAGAGAATTAATTTCTCTTCTTATGGCTAAACTTTCACTCCCGCACCAATAAATATTATCCTTACAATGCCAAATCAGATCATGTATCATGCCATTATGTTGGTAATAGGTGTTAGAATCATTGCCATAATATTGGCAATCTTTAGACATGGAAGATGAGACATTCCATTGATAATTTATACTTATGGGAATACTGTCACTCCATTGGCAGTTTGCATCCATGGGTGCATAAGATGTAGACATGCCACTTGAAGGCATGATTTCATAAGCATTAGTTTGCTTCTTCATCATCATAACTCCAAATTAGACAAGTCTCACTGGGCGTGCTAAAATATGTTAGTAAAAATCTGGTTTGGACAAAATCGACAAGGAAGAGTCGACAAGAAAATCAATTTTTACAAATAAACAAACTGATCATGCCATGTAGTTGGTGTCCTATACCTTGACAGATTCAAGAATTTCTTTAGAGCTTCTAATATGAAGAAACAAATGCAAACAAACTGAAATTCGATTAAATAACATTCAAACTTGTCACTTAATTTCAAGAATCAAATTACAAGCTTAAAAATGATTATTGAGTACAAAAGTTGAATTACAGATGAAATATTCCCAAGTTATGATAGACTACTCCTAGATGAGTTATACTATTCCTAAATTTCACATGAGTTGTGAATTTGGTTGAAGGGTTCTGTTCACCTTCCCTTTGCCTATTTGTAGACTCCATCGACGGTTTCAATAAACTACCTAGAGCAGTTTTTGTTCTCTTCATGCACACTGCCATGATTGCCATGTAAAAGAAGATGGTGGTTGCCTCAAATTTTGTTGGATGTGGTGCCACCCTTTGATGCTTATAAAGTGGGCAACTAACTTGCAAGAAACATATTGCTACCATGTGTCCTGCAAAAAATAAATAACAATAATAATAATAATCTTTGGCCATTAATGGCTTGTCACTCTTTGCCATGTTTGACAAAAAAAAAATGCCCCCCAAATGTATTTTCACCATCAATTTGTAATGGATTTTTAACATCTTTTGAGAGAAGGAACTATTTTTCTATTTTAGCCACTATTGGCATATCAAAAATTTTAAAATCATGTTATCTTCATGACTTAGTGTATTAACCCTTCGAACCACATACCTTGGCTTTTCATGAATAATTGGCTCCTTAGAAATTATGGGTATTAGCCTTCCAAGCCACCATTTTAAGCCAAATATGGTGAAAATTATGAACAAAAAAGACAAAAAATAACGAACAGCAGCCCCTTTTGACAAAAGATGATAAAAATCATTTGGGAAAAAAAACAAGTTTTGAGTCAATTATGGCTAAAATTGATAAACAACCGACTGTTCATGAATTCAATATTTTTTATATCATTCAAAATGATGAAATATATGAGTTCTCAAAGCCAATTTATACTATAGCTTTTATTGTTCAAAATTTACTTTGGATTTGTGGGTCACACCAAAATATAAATTTGATGGAGTGGCTAACAAAAGAACAATATTTAGACAATATGTTTCTTTCTTTAAATATTTTTTGGTGAAAGGTAATTGGCCAAAAATTTGACCTCACTATTTTCAATTGCCTGTCGAACACCATGCCAAGATGATAAGATGACATTAGTGGCCTTGGAAAAAATAATTGGCTAATGATCCAACATTGTCTAGATGGTTTGACTTTGGCTTTGTTCTTCAAGATCATGGTGAATATAAGCGGCAATGATTCTTGAGTGGCCCTATTCTCAAATGTAGAAAGGAAGTCTTGCATGAATTGAGATTGTATCAACTGTGTTTAACATAGTAAACAAAGTTTGCTACACATTCGATAGTAGAATGTGTACTATTGACTGTCAAAAATATCAAGAATATTCGATATTATTGCTTATCTTGATTGGGTGTGGTTTTGTAAATTTGCCAGTTAATTGGCATTTTGTGTTTAACACAATAAACAAAGTTTGCTACACGTTTGACAGTCAAATGTGTACCATCAACTGTCAAAAAATATATATATATATATATATATTTAATGAATATGAGTTGATCCAGGTTTTGTCCTTTATAGTTCTATCAACTGTCAAAAAATATATATATATATATATATATTTAATGAATATGAGTTGATCCAGGTTTTGTCCTTTATATCATTTAAGGTAAAATTCACTTTTACCTTAAATGAAAGGGGCATTATTGACACCATATTTTATTTTCTATCGATTATGGCCAAATCTAATCTGATTAGTCGTGGTCTGTCAATTATGGCCAAATTTAATTTTACTGATTGTGGCTTATTGATTTTTATCTGTCAATTTAGACCATGAATCATCTTTTTATAAATAAATTATGGCCATATTATTATTATTATTATTATTATTATTATTTGTTTTTTGCAAGAAATGTGGCAGCGATATGTTTCTTGCAAGTTAGTTGCCCACTTTATAGGTGTCAAAGGATGGCACCACATCTTGCAAAAGTTGAGGCAACCACCATCTTATTTTACGTGGCAATTGTGGCAGTGTGCATGAAGAGAACAAAATTGCTCTAGGCAGTTTATTGAAACCGTCGGTGGAGTCTGTAAATTGGCAAAGAAAAGATGAGCAGAGCCCTTCAACCAAATTCACAACTCATGTGAAATTTATGAGTAGTGTAACTTATCTAGGAGTAGTTTATATTAACTAAAGAGTTGTTCATCTGTAATTCAGCTTTTGTACTTTGGTCCTGTTGATTGTAATTATTTTTAAGCTTGTAATTTGATTATTGAAATTAAGTGACAAGTTTGAGTGTTATTCAATCGAATTCCATTTTGTTTGCACTTATTTCTTCACATTAAAACCTCCAAAGAAGTCCTTGAATCTCTCAAGACATAGGACACCAATCACATTGTTTGATCAATTTGTTTGTTTGTGAAAATTGGTTTTTCTATTGATTCTTTCTTGTTGATTTTATCTAAATCAAATTTTTACTAACAAACTCATTTCTAGAAGAAGAAGTGAGACTTGAAATGTCAATTTGTATAAACTCGCATTTTCCACAGGGACGATGGCATTAGGCAAGTGATGGAGTCAGTCTGCAAAATAGTTTTTTATTTTTTATTTTTTTATAGTAGAAGTTCTAGTCAATAACCAATTTACCCAACAAATAAAAAATAAAGATTGGGCTACCATCCAACAACCCATTTGGATTGGAAGGTATTGTTTCTGTAAGACACAGATAACGCAGCCGGTAAAAAGATTCAAAACATACCTTAGGTGATAGAATTTGACTCGAAGAACCTTGTAGGAAAATCACGTGCTTCACAAACTACGAACTACGAACTACAAACACCCAGCAATGGAGTGATACTACAGTATGAGTATTACCCACACTAGTCACAGTGCAAAGGCTTGAGCGTTATTCTGGGAGAGAGAGTATGGGAAAAATCATTCGTTATTGGATTCATTCCATATCCCATATACTGTATCCGATATATAGGTTGACTATCTAACCATCTATCCATATCTCTTGATAACATATGATAGATATAGCTATTGATAGTGGGCTATCCAAATAGGATAGTCATTAAATTCAAATTCAAATTAAGATGGGTAATCTGAATGGGTCATAGGTCATGCCACATGGGCATCCAAATCCGGGTCTAACACCCGGCCCAATTTCCAACATCTCTCACTCATATCTGAGTTGGCATGACACTGCCACATCTGTATCTCAATCTCCTCAAATATTAAACAATCTTATACTAGCCAATGAACTGTGTGACCGTTGAGAACACCTGCATGTGGGAGCTCTATACTAGAAACTCAATATGAGCTAGCATAGAGATATCAACTCAAAAAGAATATAAATAGTGTCTCATGTACCCAGATCCATCTGGCTACATCGGTCCAAAACATCTCTAATCCCTCAAAGAGCATGTTTGACCCTCCTCGGTCCCGCATTATATTCATACTCAATCAGCATCCCATACAAAGCAATGTGAGTTGTCGATAGTGAATATAGAGCAGAGATGTAGAACTAGATGATCTTCCCTTCACACTCATATCATTTAACTCATAATTGACCGCTTTCCCAGTAATGTCCCTTAAGGCCAAATCATACATGATCACAGGCAACATACCAAAGTAGTTGAACATCAACTCCTCATCTTATGACATAATCAAAGGTCACAAAAGGCACAAAGTGAAGTCATTGGAAAAAATGACTTTTAGGACTCACACGGTGAGGAAGCAGGGATCCATTCTTTCACCTTGCTAACGAGTCGATAAGCACATGCAGTATGAATGCATGCCATAGTGGAGTAACTCTTCCAAATAGTGATATTAAACTCACACACCATACAGATCTTAGTCTAATCACTCTTAAGCGCACAAGTCGCTTCCTAGCGTCTAACTTGAATTCTCTATTTGCTCGCCTCCTAGGCATCAAATGAGATCTCGCATTTGACTATCATAACAGGCACATCATGGAAAAGTAGGCACTTGTAGACACCCCATTTTTTACCATTCTTAAGACTTGGG